ATTGGTCCCGGTTGGTACCACCAATCGGGACCAAAGGGCCTCCTGCCTGGGCTCGCCGCATCAGCCACGTGGAGGCCCATCTGTCCCGGTTTGTGTAAGAAACGGGACTAAAGATTAAGGGCATTAGTAACGACCTATTAGTCCCGGTTCAAGAACCAGGACTAAAGGACCTTACAAACCGGGACAAATGCCCTGTTTTCTACTAGTGGCTTAATGCAGGGGGAGGAAGAGGACTGGGGGAGATAGGCGGCATGGGAGAGGTGATTTGGGGAGGGCATCGTAGGAGGTTGGAGAGAAGGGCAGCGAGGAAGGATCAATTTTTTATAAAGTATTATAAAAGAACGATCCCCGTAGGTTCCCTTTCGTGTCCTAGGCTATGATTATCCACTTGTTAGACAGAGGGAATGTGGCTTAGTAAGTTTGCGGAGGACCATAAACTTGAAACTTCAGAAGTAGAAAAGATTATAGAATGCAAAATATGAACTAATTACACAAGGTAACTTTGAACAACTATATGTTGCATAACACCGCAAGCACTTGCAATGGTTGCACAATGAAGCATTCGCGTTTGTACCGTGCTTCCAAAAAAATGAATTTGTTGCACAAGGCAAGAACTTAAGATGACACGAACATAAATTGAACCGATTATGCAGCATAGCATCGAATTCTCTAGACTGAAGTTATGTACCACTTATAATTTAAACAAGCCAATCTTTTGTCCATGAGTCCATGGGCTCCTAGTTGGGCTAGGAGGAGAGTACTGGCCCATGAAAGGGTGATTCCCTCCATTACACTGATGAATCGAAGGGAGTAGGTCGAAGTAGGCTACCAACGAGTTTGAAAAAAATCTATGAAAATAAATGGTTACAATTTAAACCAAGTCTATTATTAGTGAATATTGATGGAGTAACCGATACATATCCATAGAAAAATAAGACATATCATCAGACAACCATTCATTGGATATAAGCAAATCCGTTATTAATGAAATATCATGAAACAATAAGTGTCTCCTTATCTGGAAATTGGACATGCAATGATTGTAAATTAAGTAACTATTAAAAAACATTCATGGAAAAATTGATATATAGCCAAATACAAAGAAAGATCATCAAATCAGCCATTCAATAAATGTTGAGCGAACGCGTACAAGAAATGGTCTAAACCATTCTATAGAATTTTTTTTACCTCTACTCTATATATAGCATTGCCCAGGTCACACACAAGTATAAGGAACCACAAAATTATAAGTTTTGTTGAAGGAAGACAGTTCCTTGTACCCATGGCTTCTGGTCAGGGTCATGTTATCATACCAATATTTCTCTTATTTTCATTTGCTCCTTATTACATCACTTTGGCCGAATCAATAGATCTGGGTGGCAGCCTACAAACAAATGAGAAGGTAAAATTAAATTTACTTTTAGCTTGTCAAAACATATAACCCTTTCTAATATTTCTTATGTATCCACCACGTTCTTGTACCTACATGACCACTTGATCATGAAAAGTACCAATATTTGTATTCTGTTGTAATTATTCTCTGTCAGTTATGTCGCCAATTAGATATTAGAACACCACATGTGCAAGGAAATAATTATGTTTTGTGGATTTGGTACAACAATCGTCCTAACTTTCCAGAAAAAACATTTTCTAGGATGGCACTCTTTCAGGATCCAACCCTTTTCAGCTCAACAGGAGAATGAAAACTGATGGAAAAGGCAACACCATATCTCATGTACGACACTCCCTCCCTCCCTCCGTGTTAGATTTGAATCCTATTTGTTTTGTTATGTGATGAACAGGAAGGCGTGAAGGAATTTTCCCAAATCGTTAGATCTTCAGTTCCCAGAAACATCAATCAGAGAATATGTATAAATACTAAAATTGCACACTGTGGAAGTACTTCTAGAGACAAATGTATGCATATGATTTTATAGTAAGTACTTTACCTATGTCCAAAATTATAACTTTCGTAACAGCAGGAAATAGTTGCTCAATCTAGATTACATGCATGAATGGAACTACGAATATGTTTCTCTTCAGCGCAATCTACAAAATTAATGTACCACACCCAATGGATTCAGAAACAGATCTTGTTTTTTCGCAAAAAAGGAAAGAAAAGAAAAACAGATCTGGTTTGACAAGGAATGCAATATACTACCTCTGTTCACGTATATTAGGCCCCCTTGTATTTTGGATCCAACTTTGACTAAAAAATGTAAAGTATATGCTACAAAAAGTATATTGTTAGACTTGTATTTGAAAGAGGTTTTCCACGGTACAATTTTTGTGACATATAGTGTAAATTTTATTAGTTAAAATTCATGTCAAAACTTTGGTCCAAAATAAAAGTGGGCCTAATAAACTCAGACAGAAGGAGTACAAAATTAATGCACTACACTCAATGGATTCAGAAACAGATCTGGTTTGACAAAGAATGCAATATACAAAATTAATGCACCAAACCCAAATGGATCCAGATACAGATCAAGACAAGTAATGCAATATATAAAAATCAATACACCACACCAAATTGATTCAGAAACGGATCTAGCTCCATTCATGCTCTATGTATTACTAATCCCGATGTGCCAACACTTAGCTTGGACTTGGAGTGTACATCGTATTTCCTTACCGAGAAGTTCCATGTATGCATGCAATATGTAATACTAATCCTGATGTGCCAACACTTAGCTAGGAGTTAACCAATACATCGGCATGACCCATGCACCTTGTTGAGAAGGATTGTTCGAGCCAAACCTACTTGGTTAAAGTATAGGAAAATCCTGATAGCGTCCAGAGGATCACCTAAAAGCACCACGTTGTAAGTTCTAGGAAGAAGAGCATCTTATCGCTGGCAAGAAGCTACCTTAATGTTGTAATTTGCTTGTGCACTAGTACAATTTTTTCTGATTATTCACTAATTTGAGCTACATCTTTATATAAATAGTATGCAATGTGGCACACGGAGCCAGGAAAATTCTATGGTCTTCGAGCTGAAATGAGTATATGGGGTTCACCTAATCAAGAAAACTCTCAAGACTCCGGATCAGCCATACAGATCTATTGTCAAGAAGGGGAACACTACAGCTTAATTGAAGCAGGGTTTCATGTACATACATATCACCCATTCTGACAAACTCAAATGCTTTTCAAGAAGTGCTATTTAAATTATGGGTTGGCTTGCAGGTTTCCCCCTCTTTGTATCATAACCGAGATGTTCGATTCTTTACATACACGACGGTAAGTGTATACCATGCCATTCTGATAAAGTACATAATGTTGAGGTGTCACTAAACCTATCCTTTTTTTCCTCTTTGGACTCGTTTATATTAAGTATAGCTATGTATACATTAACATTAATACATGTCGCCTTGTACCATTTCTCAGAGGGACACCAAATCTGCAGGCTGCTATAACTTGCAGTGCCCAGGATTTGTCCCTGCAAGAGGAGCTGCACTAGTGCCTGGCCAAGCTATTTCTCCCCCGTCAATTTATGGCCAAGCCGATCACTACGCCAGGCTTAGCCTAAACAAGGCCCCCCCTGTTGTCCTAGTAGATATCCCTAATTCCCTATAAGATTGCATTGGCATGTGTTCACAAGAGATTCCTTGCAAGCTATCTAGTTTCTTTACACTTATGTAGCATGAAAAATATCATTTATGACCATCATCCCTTGTTTATTGTATACTGCAGGATCCGAACTCTGGGGATTGGGTGGTGTATCGACACGATTTAGACAGTCCATCATTCTTGGGGCATTTTCCAGGACAACTTTGCCCTGGAGAATCACGAATACAAGCCCTGACAGGATTTGTGAATTACCTAAAAAATACACATGGCCCTCCAATGGGAAGTGGTCAGTTCCCGGATGATGAAGATGATAAGAGATCTGCATACTTTAAGCATATTAAGATCTACGATGCCAACGGCCATGCTCGAGACCCAATTACAACTCGCATGATTAAGTTAGTTGACAGGCCAGATTGCTACAAAGAAACTGACTTCACTGTTATAATCAATAGGGGCTACATATTTTACTATGGTGGACCAAACGGTTGTATTGGTTGAAGACACGAGTTTTTCATGCCTCTGATGATGTAACAAATCATAAACTATTATCTACAAATGGTTGTATTGGTTGAGGACACAAGTTTTTCTCGGCCTTGATGACTTAATAAACCATAAACTATTTTAAATATATTGAAGGACAAACAAGAACCCATGTTTTATAGAGAAAACCCAGTGAGGTAAATTCCATTTGGTATTATATGATGGATTACTGTAACTTCGTCCAGCCTATTATATTAGCTCTTAGATTATTTGATATTTGGCATCACACTTATTTTTTGATCAAGCTGTGTTCTGACAAAAGGTGGAAGGGCAAAAACGGGATAACAAAAGTTCTTGATATGTAATCTACTAATAAGAGTAATAGAACAACCGTAATTTTTTACCGGCAGCTTACAAAATAAGCACAATGCAACTCAGTTCAGAAACTGCAAAGTAATTCTATATCTCTTGATACTTTAATTTTTGAAACAAGATAATCAAAAAGAGATGGCGAGAAAGCTTGTGAGTGATCCCTAAACTAAATAAAAATGTGAAGATGGAAAAGAGGAAAATATTAAACTAGTGAAAATCTTGGAAACTAATTTACTAAGATCGATCTTACTAGATTTTATCTTTACCTTTACCAAAATGAAGGATGGCATCGACAAGCGCCGTTGACACTCGATCTGGGAGAAATGTTTGAGTACACAACATCTCGCGTAGGCGGCTAACGACGACTACAAAAGCTGCGACATGTATAGGCAGATTATTGACATGAGGATGTGTCTCCTTCCCCTTGACGCTGAGGGGTCGCGCTGCTGCAGCCGCAGCGCTGGTAAGCATGTCAAAAGATGGCAGATGATGGATCAGTTTTATGCCTAGCCAGTTTATATTATCTTGTAAATATTTCATGTAATTAAGAACCTATGAACCTCTGTTACTTTATCATTTAATGTTTTTATGCATGTTTAAAATATTTCATGCGACGGTTACACGAGGCCAATGTGCAGCTGGTAAAACTTTCGAATATTGAAATCATTCACCTACAAAAATGAGTAGGCGATGCTAGGCAAACTCAGCCGCTGACTTTGACTGTACTGTAGTAGACTTTCTAGCCTTTTATTTTAGAACCCTTTCTCATGTTCTTTCGTCCATCAAGTTGGCGACCATCAGGTCTTTAGTAGCGTTGACAAAGAAGAAGAGCGGGTGAAAAAAAACTAGAGTTCCCAATAGTGAGACCATCGTGTAAACAATACCACACACGGCTTCTTAGGTGTAACTGTCTGCCATGGCAACATATCTCACATGATTCATCAAAATGAACCGCCTGTTACAAATCACAGACAAGTTTTTCAGCACATTCATCTGCTATGCAGAACACACGGTTCGTTCAACCAAAACGTGTGTGATAGTTTAGTTCATCGCAAATGCTTCTTTGAGAAAACTGTGTGCAAGGAATCGCACACAGTTTTCTTCCTCAATCGTGTGTGATGTGTTGGCCATCGCACATGGTTTTATTTCTGTAACATTTGTGATGTCATGATGTTATCGCACACAGTTCGACGCTAGCGTGTGCAATAGGTGGGGCTTATTAGCACCGATCTGCACAAGTGACAATGTGTGCAATGTCTAGGAAGAAATCAGCAAGTCTTGGAACTACACTACGGAATGGTGAATGGCATATCAAATCAGGTTCAGACACAATCATGGAAGGTTTAAGAAAATAAAACCAAGAGAGCATTCAGATAACTTTGATGACAAGTGCAGCATCGACTGGAGCATCAAACTCATACATGGTAAGAGTTGGAGGGCAATCTACAATTCTGTCACCTGGTTAAAGAAATATCTGCAATTGCAGCATTGATGATTACTCAACTTTGAGACGGAGATTTCAACAAAGAAATAGGTGAAAGATGAGGTACAAACTAACCTCATAATTAGGTCGATTGGCGCATTGGCACCACATCCAACAAGCATGTGCGCCTTTTCAAGCCTAGGATCTTCAGCGAGAGCAGCACACAAGTGGCGCCTTCAGGATCAGGGTGCACATAAGGGAATTTCAAATTTCCTAATGCTGTAGCTACCTGTACAGATATAGTTATCCATTAGATACGGAAAAGGGGGAGGCATTGATTCCACA